TATATTAAAATCATAATAAAGGATATAACGAAACCCTTTCGATATGATGAAACCTAAAACTGTTGAAATTATATTAAAAATATAAAAAAGGGTATGACGAAATTATTTTAAGGGGTTTCAGCAGGCATCTATAGTTTATAATCATGTGATTCACATTATTTATTATAACTATTTGATTATTCTGATGATATAAATAGTCTAAACTACCATTAAAAAGAATTTTAAGTCATATAGTAAAAAAATCAGAATATATATTTGACATAAAGATTGTTTATTTTAAGATTATTTCATATTAAAAATCAAAAAAATAAGATGATTTAGATTTAGATTTTTTGATCAAAATTAGGTAATTTTTATAATTTAAACAATTTTATAAGACTAAATTTATATTATATTTAATAAAATATTTCAATTTCAATTTTATATAATAAAAAGTAGTAACTTTAGACTGTTTGCATTATAATTAATCTAAAAACTTATAAATTTTTTTACTAAAATATTATTTGTCACTACTTTTGTGTTCTAATATCCTATATATTACTTATTTATAAAGTATTAAATTATAATTCTAAAATTTATTAAAATTTAATCAAATTTGATTTACTTAAATAATATAAAAAAATGTTAATATTATATTTATATTATAAATTTTATATAATATATATGAAAATCAGATTTTTATGAATTTTTTAATAAAATTGAGATTTTTATTATATCTTAATTTGAAATTTCTTAGATTAATCTTTTCAATATTTTGTAACAGATAACTATAACAAAGGATAATTATGTATAAAATATTATTATAATTTTAATTAATTGTTTATTTAACGTTAAAGAATTTAAAATTCATAGATAATCATTTATTAGTATAAAATATCCTTGAAATAAATATTTCTTATTAACCCAATATGCAATTTTAAGCGTTATTTAAATTATCTATTTTGGATAATGATACACAAAAATTACACAAAATATTTAATGAAAAACATTTGGTTGCCTGGATAAAAGAAAAAATACATTCAACCGAGTTTGGATCGGGCCCCTTATTAAGAGATCTTTTTTTGTCTGACAAATTCTTCGGGGAAAGGGTAAATTTATAAGGAAATTACTTTACTAATTTAAATAAACAGTTAGCCTCAAACTTGATTGATTTAAGAATAACATCCTTTTTTTTATAAATAAAGTAAACCTTAAAATCATTCTCTCAGAAAATGTCTGATAATTTAGGGTATGAAAATCTGAAAGAACTTGATAATTTAGAAATAATTGTGATTGTTGATAATGCAGTTGACACATTGTCTTCTTCGAATGCTAATATCGGAAATATCGCAAGTAAATTAATTTACTAAATGAATCGACTTGAAATATTTCTTTAAAAAAAAAAAAAAAAAATTAAATTGTATTATTTTATTAGATGAATTAAATAGAAATTTAATAAATAGAAAGGAAACTTTGGATTTTACGGAATATT